GCTGGATCTCTATGCCAGAGGCACTAATGCACCCTTATACCATCAGCGAGTCAGAGGTTTGAACTGTGAGGCTGGATCTCCATGCCAGAGGCAGCAATGCACCCTTATACCATCAGCGAGGCACTTTTGAACTGTGAGGCTGGATTTGGATTTCCATGCCAGAGGCACTAATGTACCCTTATACCATCAGCGAGGCAGACTTTTGAACTGTGAGCTGATAACAGGCTGGATCTCCATGCCAGAGGCACTAATGCACCCTTATACCATCAGCGATTGTTTTCTCAGTCATCCAGGATAACAGGCTTGATCTCCTCTTCAGTACAGAGGACGTGTCATTTGTAGTTTCCTAATAGAACTTCAGGTTTGGATCCGTCTGACCACAGAACAGTTCTCCACTTTGACTCAGTCCGTTTTAAACGAGCTTTGGTCCAGAGAAGACGGCAGCGGTTCTGGATGGCTTCTTCTTTCCATGACGGAGCTCTAAGCAGCATGTGTGGATGATACGGTGAACTGTCAGTGATCATGACTTTTAATAACAATATAACCTGTGGTTGTGTTTAACGTTGGAACCAGCACCTCTTCTGTCTCTGGGGCTCACATTAGCTGTAGTCGCCAGTGTTGACATGATAATTATTATAAAAATTAATAAATAAAGAGGTCCTTGAGTCTGCAGTTCATTAGGATGTAATTAATCTCATTATGCAGCCACTCGACGGGCGAAACTTATTAAAAGTCTTGGTTAATGAGAGTGGAACCTGAAACAACATAAGCTATAAGTCTGACACAACAAAAGGAAGTAAACACATTTAACGATATTTACCATTAGTTTCAACAGTAATTAGGTTTAAATATAGAGGGGAAGTGCTGAAAGAGACTTTAAGTTAGTTCTAAAAGTCTCATTCATCTGTTAAATGATTGAATGTAAACTGAACAGACATTTTTCACGATATACGACTACAAATAAAGTCTGCAAGAACAGACATAATATTGACTGGCTGCATCTTCCTGGTGCTTATTGGTCACAGTATTTACAAATTCTACAACATATGGTTTTAAATGAATGGAGTCCATTTTTTTGTCCCATTATGTGAGCTGTTTAACAACAGACGCCCCATCTGCTAATGATTTCATTTGCAGAAATGATGCAGATAAAGCTGACGGCAGGGAAAAAAGAAACAACTGCCCCGACACACTTTCATTAGCAGCAAAGAGCGTTTTTGATTTCTTCATTAGTTTCTTCTGAAAGGGCACATTGTCTCAAGACAGACAGGGACATAAAAACCAGGAGGTAAATTACACAAAAAAGGTAATAAAAGTAAAAAAAAAAAAAAAAAAAAGGGAGGATAAATCAAGGATGAAGTTTGACATTTACAGCTCCGAGACAAAATATCATCTTTGTTCAGCAGCAGCAAAGAGTCAAAGTGCAAATCAGGAGCAGAAAATCAGAGAATATTAAACCCTCCTGCTGCCTTTGGGTCAAATCGACGCACGAGGAACATTTTAAAACTGAAGCCTCAGGTTATTTTGACCCAAGGGCAGCAGGAGGGTTAAGGTGTCTAGACATACATAAAAAAACAAACTAAACCAACTTCAAGATGCTGTATTTGTTTAATAAAATGGTTAAAACGTTTTTAATCTTATGACATATTCATTGGGAAAAATTAAAAAATAAATAAACCTAGAATGTTCTGTTGTTTGAACTATTTTATGAAAATTGTGCTTTTTTGTTGTTTTAACTGTAAAACCAAACAAACTAAACGCTGTTTTAATTAGGGATGCACGATATTGGATTTTTGACCGATATGTTAAAACTTTTTATTCCGATAACCGATACCAATACCGATATTTTTCCCTAGACCTACTTACAGAGCCGAAATAACTTTCTCTGCTGTAGAATTAAAATCCTACATTATTCTGCATGGTCTTTGTGTGTTTGGCCTGCTACCAAATGCAGATGCCAAAAAGGGGCTGAAAATGATGTAATAACACAATATAAATATAAAATATTAAAAAAAACAGCGCCTTTTTTATCGGTGAGTCATTTTGATAGAATGACCGATGTCCGATATTTAATTTTATCGCTAATATCGTCCGATACCATGCCGATAATATCGTGCATCCCTAGTTTTAATTCAAGATGGCCGCCACAGACACGTGAGGAAGCCCTCTGCGTGCCGAGGATTAATCTTATCTTTAACTTTGAGCAGATTAAAGCTGCTCTGTGCTGGGGAAAAGAAAATTAGCTGTGGCAGCCATCTTGTTTATCCAATGATTACTTTCTGGGAGTTCCAATTAAATTCGTCCACAGGATTGTGAGATATTTTGCTAACAGTGCAGAGAAACAAATACAATGCTCACTTCTGTCGAACACTGAGGTATGTGGGAAATGTGTTTGTCTATTTATGAACAAAAATCTGCAACAGCAACAAGTTTGTTCCACCGTTGTTTTTCCATTTTCTTATTTATTTTTATTTTATCTTTGTGTGTTCTGTTGTCGGGCCACCGTACCGTACAGTGTGTGTTGCTGCAAAAACACGCGGTAATGTGTGTGTCTCGGTGCTGCAGACTGCCAGAGTGATCCTGAAGCTGTGAGCCGTGAACTGCTGCTTTGTTGGTGTCACTCAGCTTGCAGGGGGAACAAAGTCAGGAATATCCCCTCCTTCTCCTGATCCACGTTTTACTCAAAAGCCTCTAAATTTTGACCTAAAATACTCCAAAGTCAGGATCTGTCGAAGAAGACGAAGAGCTCAGAGCTCTGATCTGAACATGGAGTCAGTCTGTGATCCCATCCAGAGCCAGCAGCTTAACCGGCTCTTTACACAGCTTGAAAACCCCGTCTGTCTCAACGCAATGTGCATTTCTGTTTAAACGCTTGACCTTTTAACCTCTGAACCCCAGGGCTGTTCCTCGAAACATCCTCAACTTCTGTCTCAAACTGTCAAAAGGGAACAGTCCGGGTTTTTAGAAGTTTGAAATACAACAGGAGTCCTTACCCCGAAACAGCCGAGACACATAAAGATCTGCTGTTAGCAAAACTAGCAGGAGCAAAGGCAAAGATGTCAAGTTTAAAACTAAATGACACCAAGACAATCCAAAACAAAAACCAAGATGGAATCCCGACTACAACAATCAAATCTGAATGATTCGAGTGTAAAAAGCAGCTCACAATAAAGAACGTTTAAAAACTTTCCATTCCCACAAAATTAGTTTCAACAGGAACTAAACTGAAGTTTTTGTACAAACTCCTTCAGGAAGCGTCTTAAGTCTAAATGTGTCATTCAAACCGTTTCATCTCACAGCAAACAACAGGATGGGGGTCCTCCCCTGCCATTTCCTGCATTCTGTTGTATTTTAACAGGTTGTTAAACATCTACATTAACTAAACACTTTATTCAATAACTAGTTTAGAGAGCAACATGACCAACAGTTCTCCCTGTGTGAATAGAGCATGCTCTGCTTCTCTCAAGCATCCTAATGCAGTGAATTGCCCATGACTGTACTTTTAGGGGCAGAGATTTTTTTAAGGGTAGAAGTGGAAATGCTTACTTGAAGCAGCAGCTCTGGTGTGATATTAGGAAGCTCGTAAGTGGCTGTTGTGTTTTAAATGAGTGTCTATGTAATTATTTTCAGATTACAGATTACATGTCCAATATAGGTTTTATTTATTCAAGGCAGTCAAATTTGTTCATAACTTTTATTAGTAAGCTTGAGAATTACCAGATCCAAGCAAATAGTTACCGAAATGCCATAATAAAAGTGTTCCCGGATCCTGTTCTGGCAGGATCTTGCTCAAATTAAGCCCTGCTCACGGTGCTTTGTAAGTCAAAGTTTTGTTTCTTTTGGCTGCTTCTTTCTGCAGGAGTCGCCACCACAAGCAAATGCACCAGAAAGATTCAGCAATTGTTTCACGCTGGATGTCCTTACTGATGCAACCTGGGCTCGAACCAGCACCTTCAGGTTTACAACACTGACCACTGAGCTACGTCACTTAAGGTGGCTGTGGCTTCAATGAGAGTTGTAGGTTCAATTCCACCAGTATGCAGTGACCATGTCAAAGTGTCCCTGGGACAAGTCCTGAACCCTTCATTGCCTCTAATGTGAGCCCCATCAGTGTATGAAGGTGATCTAAAGCACTGATCAGACTCTGAAGCATG